TTTACTTCATATGTTTAAAAACGAAAAACATTGTACAACAAAACAAAGCAGATTTTATTCTAATGAACGTTTAGGTGTGGACATACAAAAAACAGGCACATTTCGTGGTTTCCATATATTCGGATCAATTGCTTGTGGAGTAAATATTACATGTTGAGATGAAGAATAATGTTGAGTATTTTCATATAGAAGTTCAAGAGAAGAATTACGTTTTTCATTATCCTAAATTAATATAAAAATATTAAACAAATTATCACGAAATCTATTTACCATATAAATATCTATTTCATCAAGTAAACGAAAAGGTTGATAGATAGATCCCCAGAGTGCAATTAAAAAACAAAATGTTGATATTGATCGTTCACCACCCGATAATGAAGCAACACTACGTTGATTTTTTTTAATCTAATTCAAATAAAAACTAAATCTTATCTATTTAATTCAATATCACTTACAATAATTTCCAGTTCTTCTTTTTTATGATTAATTTTAATATCACAATCATCGAAATGATGTTTTTCCATTAAATTTTTAAAATTATGTCGAAGTAAATATTGATGTTGATCAGCTATTCTACCAAAAGATTCTTTACGTTTATTAACAAATGAATCTAAATGCTTAACAAAACAAAAGAAAGAAACGAAAGTTTAAGTTGAATCTTTTTTCTAGAAAAATAAATAATTTACTTTCATTTGTTGATGACATCGTTCACAAACTTTCTTAAAATCATACGCAGCATCTCGTTTTGTTTTATATTCATCGATGACTTGTCGACGTTGTTCGATACTAATTTCGAAAGAAATAATAATTGAAAAAATCAAGAATATTGCTTACGTGTCTTCATTTGATTTAAGAAAATTATTTATTCCATCGATTTCTTGTTGAACGTCACGAACAGAACGAACAGGCAATTTAGAAGCTTTCGATTTCTAAAAATATGAATAAAATAAGTCATGTTAATTTATATATATGTATATATTACTTTAGGAAGATTTTTAGTTAATTCACTTATTCTCTCTTGACATTTTTCAATATCATCATTAAGTTGTGCACATTTTTTAGTTAATCTTGGTATTTGTTGTTGAGTTTCTTGACATTCAGATTGTTCATCGTTGATTTGTTCTGTAAGAGCATCAAGTTCTCGAGTTTTTGATACTATTTTTTGAGTTATATTGTCATGTTTTTGAGTCGCATCAGCAAGATGTTGATGTTGGATTTCTTTACTATCTTTTACTTCTTCAAATTTTGCTTTTGTTATAGTATGGTTTTGATTATGTTCATTTAGTTTTTCTTTTAATTCATTAAGTGTATATTCATATGTAACTGGCATTGCAGAATTTAATCGTTCAAGTTCCTAAAACAAGATAATGTACATTAGACATTTATTAAATAAATATATCAATTTTTATATGACATGTATTATTTAAGAGTACATTAAACTAAAAATTAAGTATTACGTCGAGAGGCATAGTATTAAATAATACATAAAGATTTAAAATGATGAAAAATCTCTCTTTCTCGTAGAGAAGAGTCTAGCAGAGATAAATTATTTGCTTGATTGTGTCCGCAGAGTCAAAAATCATCGAAAATCAATTTTTCACGGTTTTCATTTGCTTTTCCAGTAAATGCATTTCTACGAGAAAGAGTTAAGCGTGTCCTCGGACAAGCGTTACTTGTAAAGATTATGTTTATTAATAAATATTTTCATACTTAAAGGAAGCATTTGTAGTATTAATAAAATTTTCGTACCTGACTTAATTCTTGAATCTTCTTTTTATTTTCCAGACTTGCTCTTTGCATATTTTGAAAATTATTTACTGTTGTTTGTCGAATTGTTTTTAATTCATTCATAGATAAATTCATTTGATTAATTTGTTCTTGTAAACGTTTAATTTCAATATTTATTTCATTATTTGATAATGATTGTGTATTATTTGATGTAAAATATCTTGCTGGTTGTTTATCATTTGTATAAATTCGAAATGCTCGATCTAATTTTACATTTGAACCATCATATGTCCATGCTTCAGCAACTCGTTTGACTTTTTTATCGATTGCTTGCCAATGTAAGACTCCAGTTTGTCTAATATTTTTAGCATGATCTAAGTTTTCAACTAAAATTGTTGCTTCAATGTGTCTGTAATCAATTAATACACATTCAACTGTTTTATTATCAATTTTTAATACTTGATAAATAGATAAAAGATTTGCATGTCTTATACGTTCTAGAGTACCTGAAACATCATGAGCTCTATCAGTATGTCTCATACGATATATAGTTGGCCGATAATTACGTTCATTATAATTATCAAATATTTCAAGTAAAATTTTTTCATCATGAACATCTGTACAAATAAATGATACCATTATTCCTGATAAATGTTTTTCAACAGCATATGACCAACGTGGTTCAGTACAATGTATATATTGACCCATAGGTCCAATAGGTTTCGCATGAAATCTATTATCAGCTTGTATTGCTTTTAAACAATCAGACATCCACGATCCATAAACATTCGTTTTATCATTATCAATTTTTTTTAATTCATCTAATTCCTGTTGTTTTTGTCTTAATTCATTCTGTATACAATCAATTGTCGATTGTTTAGTTCGAATAGTATCATCATTAACATTTATATCATCGTTAAACGATACTATTGATTGATCCCATGCTGCTTGTTTTCGTTGACGTTCTTGAATTTCTTCATCAAGTTTTAAACGTTCTTCTTCACTACGATTTGATTGTTGACTTAGATTTTCGTATTCATTCTAGAAAAAATATTTCAGAAAGTAAATTCATGTGTTTTATTGAATTGTGAAAAATTTTGTATAATTTTTATTAACAATAAAATTATTTCTATCATGCAAAAACTTTTGACTACGAATAAGGAGATAGGTTTATATTATATAATTATTGTCTGTTTTATAGAGCCCATCAGGTCCACACTTTTTTGGACCCGGATCTAAGTCGGACCTGATCCTGATGAACACTAGCCTGAACTCGAACTGTACTTTTAGATTCTCAGTAAATCTTTCTACTTGAAATCTGATAGTTGCTTCGAAAATAGTTTTGTTGTTGTTTTTTCTATTATTTTTACAAATTCAAGACTTTTTGAATAAAAAATTAAAGAGATTTAAACAAAATATTATGTTGATAACATATTTCTTTCGATCCGGATCCGGTCAGTAAAAGCTTCGATACTCGGACCCGGACCCAGACCCGATGGGCTCTACTATTTTATGATTTATTCTTTAAACTTCGATACACAAGTATAGATTTTATTACTCTTGAATCAATTGTTTTTCGCAGGATGTACTCAAATATACAGATTTTTCAAGAAGTACACAATGTACTATATGTATTATGATTTCCACAAACTATTCTCTTAACGAACTTCACTACTGAATGTCCTACTATTTCTCGCTTGTAAAATCTTCAATCTCACGAACATATAATAATGCTCAAAAAAAAACATAAGCGATATTACTACAGAGTTATCTATCTGTTAGATTAATATTACACTAAGATTATATTTCTATTGACTGAAACTTCTTACTTCTAGTAATTTGTTATCTAACAATAAATGTTTCAAAAATTGATTTATTCTATAATTTAAAATTACGTACAATATGTTTTTTTAAACGGTTTTGTTCGTGTTCAAGATCAAGTAATGTTTGATGATATTTTCCACAATCATGTGATAAACGATAAATTAGAAATTCCAGTTCTTTTTTTTCTTTACCAAATCGATAATTTAATTCACGTAAACCATTTGGACCAGATAAATCATTTTCAACATCAGATTTATCACGTATTAAATTTTCTATTCGTTTTTCGACTTTACAAATTTGATTCTATAAAATAAAATAATTATTATGAGTTAAATGAAGAAAACAATTTCATACTAATGTTTCAGCCATTTTTTCTTCAATGACATCTTTACTTTTTTGTGTTTGATCTAATTCATTTTTAACATTTGTTAGTTCCTAAAATATTACTTATTATTATTATGTCTTAAAAATCATTTAATTACTTGTTGTGCTTCAACACCATGAGCTAAAATAAGTTCAGCTTCTAATTTATGTTTCTTTTCTTCTTGAGTACGACGAAGTTCAATCTTTTTCACTTGTGTTTCTAATGGTTCGACTGCTCGAAGCATATCGCCATGTTTCTACAAATATTATAATTAAACAAAAAAAAATTATTCTATGAAATTTTACTTGTTTCATTATGTCAATTCGTTGACGTATCGATTGTACAGTACATACAGCTTCTTCATAAGCTTGTTTTATTTGATCTAATTGGGAGACTTTCATATAAAACTAGAAATTAGAAAAAAAAATCAGATAGATATTTATGATTTCTTTGAACGTGATGAATGACTTACTTGATATTTCTTTCGAGCATCACTATTTAATAAAAACGTTTTTGCAATCTCTTGATGTAAAACACATAACGGATTTTCAGGTGATATTGATAAAGCTTGAATTATTTCAGCTATAGTTTCTTTACGTGTACTAATTACTTTACGATTATCACCTAAAACTTTATAACTTGATTGTCTAGCACCAATTCTTCGTATAATTTGAATTTCTTTTCCATAAAGTTCAGGTTTGTAAGCTTCAGCTCCTTCATTTGCTAAAGTGACTGTTATTTCAGCAGATCTAAATTTTTTTTACAATAAGATGAAAATATTAGTTTGAAAATTATTATTTACGGTTCGCCTTTTCGGATAAATGACTGGACATTTGACGTTCGACCAGTTGTTCTTGCTTGAGCACCCAAACAAAGACAGATCGCATTTGCTATTGTTGATTTACCTGAACCATTCGCACCCGTAACAATTTGCATTGGAGTTGCAAGGAAGTTAATAGAAAAATTTTTATGACACATAAAATTAAGCATACGTAGTTCTTTAATCTGACCAATTGTATGTTTTTGTTTTTCTTTAGATGTAATTAATGATTTTTTCTTTTTTGTAGATGTTGATGGACTGGAAATAATACTATTATTATTCATATCGGATTTTGATTGAAAAGGCCTTTTTATATTATTCGTCATCTAAAAGAAATATATTTGTTTATTGATTATACATTCAGTCAATTGACACTGATAATAAAGAAAAGAAAAACTTGCTATAGTAAGGTTTTAACTGCAACATGTGTATATATATATATAATTAAAGTGACACGTGTATGACAGATGTCTAGTCGGTTCATAAAAAGAATATAAACAGATGGTTGTTTCTGTCCGACGAAAATAGCAGACGTATAGGCGAAAAAAAAATATCATCGAAGTCATTTCACTGGTAAAGAGTAAAATGAAATATGAGAAAAATATAAGTATGACATTACAATGATATATCTGTAGACCGCATGATGTCATTAATAAATTTATAATAGTTGAATAGAATTGTGAAATCAACTAGGAGAAAATTGAATATCTGCATATACATAATTCCTGTTATTATTTGACAAAGAAAAGGAAGAATTATTTATATGCTAATAGGTGTATCACTTAGCAATTAGATGTTATTCAATATTTATCAGAATAAATTCGTGTTCACATCAAGATAATTATGCAACCAGGCATCAACGATATTAGCTAAATGGTAGATATCAATAAGATGATAGTAGACTTGTTTGAATAATTTAACAATTAATATAAATTTGATACGCGTTCTTTTTCGTTTAATAAATCAAATTAACTCACTCTAAACATTAATATTTTGACAAGTATTAAGTAAGATTTACGAATTGTTCAATAGATTTTAATGTTTATCTTTGAAATATCATAACGATGAGTAATCTAATTGATATCAGCATGTAAAATAAAATTATAATAAATTGATAAAAAATGTACCAGCGTTATTACCAATTAAATACTTGTAGCTTGATATGCATGAATAATTTTATGTAAATCATAACCTTATTTCAGTACATTTGAAAAGGTAGGAACCATTGCAATAAGTTTATAGAACTATAATATGATGTATATAAATATAAATATATATAGAGATAGGCCTAATTTGGTCGTAAAAAATGCTTGAAACAGAAAGATGCGTTGTCGACGAATAAATCGATTCAATTTCCCAAAAATGAATTCATTGGTTGACTCATTTGTCTATCTCTGACAGAAGGATAACATAGATGTCGATAGTGAGAAGAATATTGGAATATGATATAATATGAAAAGCCTGAAAATATGAAATATATTAATGGGTACTTACAGTGTATACAACGGACAATAATTCAAATTCGTTCAGAACATATCATGTTCTTATTTTGAAAGTTTGAAATGAAATTAATCTAAAACACAGTACACAATGTTCGAGATATTTGTAATGGAAACTAAATATGTAAGATGATTGATTGTGTTTAATCAAAATTATAAGAGAATGTCTCCATGAACTTTTTATCTAACGTTCGATAAAGGTCGTTATAGTTTTAGTCTTAACTATATTATTCGCAGAGAAATAAAAAAATAACTATAGCACCCGCAACTATTTGTAATTCTGAAACAATTTATCGAAGTAACTTCATATTTTCGAAGATTTTTGAGATGCCTACCTGCTGAGAATAGTTAATAAAAGTGTAGGCAAAACATCAATATGTTACGCTCGAGGAAGTCGATATACGTTGTTTGTCCTTCCTTCGTCTAAACAGAACCGCTTTAATAAGAAAAGACACCGATGTGCGTTTGTAACGACTGAACTAACACTATATAAAGAAGCAAGGATAAGATTTTTGAATGTCGATTGACACACTCACACTCAACTAAAGGACAAGAATCAAAGGAAAAGAAAGAATAATAAGCATGTGAATATATTTAATGATTTTTATTAGCTACAATAATTTTACTTCGTCATACGACAGACTTAAAAAAATAAGTTACATCCAATACTATTGATTTTACTATTAAAATCTTTAGTTATATATATTTCACTCATTTAAAAAAAAAAATAATAGTTTTTTTTCTAACGTTAAATTATCATCTATAGCCGATGCTCACCAGATCACTCACTGAGGTAGATGATGAAGTCTAAAGCATAAGGAAAATTTATACAAATAGAGGGAATAAGTAGACAGGATGTCAGAATATCATAGACATGGTTCGATGCATAGGTGATTGGGAGAAGAATGATGAACATATGGATAATATGATATATCAGAGGATGATGAGCATATGTTCTTTTTATGGCATAACAATCGGTACGAAAAGAAGGAAGAAAGAAGAAGAAGCAATAAATGTGTCTGTAGAGATTTAAAAGATAAGATCGAATATACAGATGTTTTCGTATAAACTTGAATAAACGTCTTTATAGTCGAAATTCTTTAGTTCAATTTTTTTAGTAAAAAAAAGTCTATTTCTTGTGAGTTAGAGAATATTTGTATATTTTGTCTTCTATTTTACAATAGTACTTTATTGATCGAACTCGAGATATCGACACAGAACTTAGAAAAAGTTAGCATTGGAGTCAAATTTGGATCAGGTGTTTAGAGACTTAACATAGAGTGTATAACACTTACTTTTATTTACCATAAAATTGAACCATCTGCTCCTTTTTTACGTCTATCTAAATGAGCATTGAAAAGCTTCCTTTCTCTTGCTTTCTGTTTATTGTGAGTAACGGTCCATAGAATAGAAAGAAATAATATGTATATTGTATTATCCGACATCTATTGATTGCCTATGTTTCATTGGATATTATACATATAATTGACGCGAACAATCAAACAATGTCTTTGTTCTGAAAATAGAAACGAATTTCCTCATCATTGACACTTTTCCGTCGTATTTCTTTACAAATTTATCATGTTTACTTCCATCAATAATCGTACAGTTTTCGATATACCAGTAACTTGGAATCGAACTCGTTTTGAAGCATCACGTATAAAATGTCGACAAGCTCGCAAAATAGTTGAAACTAGTATTAATGGTAACAGTGGAAGAATAAAAATTTTCTATATTAAAAATTTAATCTAATTTATTTTTAGCACAATTTAATAAACAACTCAAAGATGTTTTCTTTCAAAAACTTGATATCGAAAAAAATACTACTGATAGTCAAGAACGTATAGTTTATCAAGAAAAAAAAGTTCGTGCACTTGATAATTTAACTGATGTAGCAGCACAATCATTGGACAATTATTTTGATAAGGTATTTTTCTATATCGTAAAACTATCTAGATATATATTTCTTTTTTTATTAATAATAGCGTATGGAAAATGTTCGTATAGCTATACAAGAACATTGTAATGCTATTCAACAAATACTTCGAGAAGAAAATGATCATTGGCAAGAAATTCATACAGCTATCGATCAGTATGTTTTTATATTTAAAACAAATATGTTGTTTTATTCTCTTATTTCTATAGAAATATGATTACTTCAAATGATATTCATCCACCAAATAAAATCGATGAAGAAATTCCATTGACAAATATTCATACAATTGATGAAGCTGATGAAGATGAACATACATCACGATTATTAGTAAATATTTTCTTTACAAATAGAAATTATTCATTGAATTTTTCTTTTATAGAATAATAAAACAGTTACACCACTATTAACTGAAATGATTCGAAGTATGCTATAATAGAAAAAAAGTCTTTGTTTTATTTCTTATTTCTATTATCTATAGAATCTCGATTACACTCAAATCGTCCTTCATTAATTCAATATAGCATACCAATATCGACTGAAAATTTAATTCAAACTAAACAAGAACAATTCAGTATGATTCAACCTTTAAATTCAGCACGTCGTACACTTCATGTTATTGATACAACATTTGTTGTTAAACTTGAAGAATCGAAATCTATCGAACCTGATCAAGTAGAAATTCCTTCAATGGAATCTTCTTCACCTTCAATTATAACTAATCCAATTCAATTGGTACCTACGACTACTTCGATTCCAACTGAACCATTATCAGTAACTACAGTTACTCCAAATGAAACATTACCGACACCTGAAGTTGACACTACACCAAGTTATTCTCAACCAAAACCACCAGCTCGATTATATTTTTCACCTACACTTCTCTTAGACGATGTTGAATCAGAACCTATTCAACCTGTTCTCTCGACTATCGATCAAAATCAAACACGTAATGAAGATATTTATTTTGAAAGACAAAATTTTAACTTAATTTTATTTTAATTAGGTAATGAAAAACCAAAATTAACATCTCGTCGATTTGGTCAAACATTTTTACTTGATAATATTAAATCAGAAAAAATTGATGAAAGT